AATGAGTAAACTCAATGCGTTAATTTACTAACAAAAATATGTAGTGGCAGTTTCATGAATGTCATGAAAGACATGAAAGACATGGTTTTGGCCCTCTTAAGTTTACCTGGTTTATAAAACAGCCAACTGCACAAGGATTTGGAGCAGGATATGGTTCAGAATAACTTTGGCTGAGACCCGATTCTGGGGATCGCACCCAATACTAGGCCATGGCCTATTCCAAACCTGGCCATACAAGTGGCGGGACAGCGTGCACACACAGGTGTATACACACACACACACAGCTTGATGTGCACAAGTTGAGTTGTGCGTGCATGAGTGTGTGCACCGGTCTGCTGCTTGCACAAGTAGAGCTATGCGCGTACCTGCGTAGCTGCAAAGGTTGGGGACTGTTGGCTTAATGAAAAGACAAACTGTATTTTAAAGAATAAACTTGTGCAACCATTTAAAATAATAAAACTGTAGATAGAAACCATATCATTTCTATAAATAAATTATGATAGATACATAAATTAATAAAATTAAAGGATTCCAACTGTTATAGTTTTACTGTGCCATTGTAACATCTGACACTGTATGTTTTCAAATATGGAATTTATAGTTTTTAAGTTTTAGAGATTTTTTATAACTGCTTACTTACATACTAAACTGGATGCAGAAAATAATTGTCTCAAAATCCCAAACCTTGACAGACAGTACAGAGAACAGAATCAGAAACCAGCATGGAAGCAATTTTAATATACTTCTTGATTAACTCATGACCCATCCACTTTTCCCACAGACATGTACTAACATGTCATAATCGTCATAATTCATTATCCCCACAGCTAACACACAAGCTCCTTGATTAGTACACAACTCCCAGACAAGCATTACTAATACTAAATAACTCCCTTCAGTCTCTTGCTATTAGACTACAGACTCTCCAATTAAATATAATGTTGCTGATTAAACATGTTAACCATGTTTCTGCCAGGAATTCTATTCTCCTACCATCCAAATAGTATGGGAGGGATGTCCATAAATGGCAATTCTCAAAATACAGTGAAGTCATTTAATTAAAATCAATATCAACATAAACGTTTGATACGAAAGATTAACAGTGGAAAGATAGCATTTAATATAAAAAACCTGCAAACTTCCTTTTTTAAAAATAGAATCACACACCTCTTTGAAGCAGTGTTTATATTTCCGTTTTTGATAGGATTTTTTTAATGCTAAACTGAAAACATGATAAATGAGATTCCAAAGAAAATTGATAACATCAGTATGGTGTTTCACTGTCTTGACTTTTTTAAAAAAAAATTAAATTTATTGAGGATTTTACAGAGACAAAGCTAAAGATGGGTGGATGCAGGGAAAGAAGGAAGGAAGATTTTGAAGTATGATTTCCAACCTTCTTCTCACCAGATATTAACAAATCTATTATCTTCTTCCTCTTAATGCTTCCAGAGATCCCTTCAGTCCCTTATTTATTATTAATTTATTTCAATCATTAAATCTCCATAAATTACCATTTTACTTGTTATTCTTCTTTTAGCAAAATGTCCATAAAAGGTTTCCAGTCTTTTAACAAAGCACTTGTTTTCTCCCTGGCCAGACAAGTCAGTTTTGCCAGTTCCACTAGTTCTGACATTTTTACAATCCATTCCTCCACTGTAGGAACTTCAATACTCTTCCATCATAATTTGACCCTATTTTAGGAGTAGAGGGGACAGCTACACAATCATACAGATTAGGGAACTGTAGTTTCATGAGATGTGCTTCAAATCACAGTGACATGACTAAATCTAGCTTCTACACATGAACCCAATCTAATTCTGACTTAACTATTTAAGAAGCAGAGCAAGGTAAAATATGAATAATATTTTTAAAAACCTAAATAAAAAATAAAGAATACAACAGAAAAAAAGAAAATCAGGGTGAAAAACCATAACCTGAAAAAATAATAGTTTCTCCAGTAAAATTAGTCTATGTAAAATGCTTTTCTTTTATCATTATCTAGTTACGCTAAATTTCTCATAAACATACTTTCTTCCACCATAATGCTAAAGTCACTCATGCAATAGCAGCAGCACTTAGATTTATATACTGCTTCATAGTACTTTACAGCCCTTTCTAAGCCAGGGGTGTCAAACTCACGGCCCACAGGCCCAATGCGTAACGCACTGGTCACACCCACCCCCGGTTTAGCAAAGGGGGAAAAAGTTGTGATATGTCACGTGACAACGTGTTATCGCGAGTTTGACACCCTTGCTCTAAGTGATTTACAGGGTCAGCATATGCAACTATCCTAAACTGAAGCTGGAAAGCCCAACTTGCCAAACATACGTAACTATTTTAAATATGTTGCTGTTATTATGCCTCATAATTAAACAATGTATTCTTTTTCTTTAAAGTTAAATTTGTACTTTAATAGGTCTAACAGTTTGGTTTTATATAAATACGATGGAGAGAAAGCAGTTAATGATGGATGGTCTCATTATTTATTTATTAAATTCCTGTATCTTCTCATAGCAAGATGCCTCAGCAGCATATATTAGAAGCTATTAATGGCAAGTGAGTACAAGTGAGCAATTAGAAAACATAACTGTAAAAAAAAAAGTATGAAATTTTGATAAGCTCTTCCCAGAGGTCTTCTCATCTTTGCCTATGCTGGTGCATTTCATTTTAATTTACCTGATTGTTAGCTTCCAGTTTGTTCAGCTGGAAACCACAAACAAACACTAATTACTTTGACATCACAAAGTCATAGTGTCCTTACCACCTCGCCAGACAGCAGGGATAAATTATAAAGGGTAGACATGATAATAACTTGATAAATGATGAGTCACATCACCTCTTTGTCAATCATCCATGAGGGCTCACACAAGATACCACTCAATCTCATTACTAAATCCGAAGACTAAAATACAATACACATCAGGAATTTTCTTTCGAACAGCAAGCCACCTTGCTGGATACAATCCAATAGATGGTGGCTGAATTTCCACAATATTTTACATTTCTCTAAAAATATTCAAACATGAGAGGAAAAAGAAAATAGAGAAAGCTACAACTTACTTGCTGCACAAATATATAACATTTTGCACATTATGATGTTCAAAATTTTCCAAGTTATATTTTTATTCTTGGACTTCAATCCTATAAAGCACACTTTATACATTCTGTTATATATTCCATAAATGTGATCCCTAGGCTATTGCTGTTGAATGTTCTGAAATAAAATATTCTCTTTCTGACTCAAAATTATTTTGAATCAATTTAAACAAGGACTAAACCACATTTATTTTCCTTTCATTCTGCTATCCATCATGTTAATATATTTCTTTTCTTTTGTATGTCGTTTAAATTATATTTTAGACCAAACTGTTACATTTCTAGTATAAGGTTTCCCTAAAATTAAGTTCCACTATTGTAGCAATCTTGATTGAAAAAAGTTTAAATAATGCTTCTTCTGTGATCAGCACCAAAAAAACATATACAATATTGCCACTAGTATCTAATTCAAGCCAAGAAAGAACAAATGTTTACTCAAAGCAAAGCAAATCAGAATGAGGAATCTAAGAAATATCATTAGTGTTGTTAGTGAAAATATCCATCAAAACATTTCCCCTACTTTTTATAGAGGGAAGGCTACTAAGTTTGTTTGTCACCATGGTAAAAAGAATGGAAGTTGCTTCTTTAATTATTATTTTCTTTTTCTTTCTATCTATACTGGTTTTTATACTTTTTACCATATTTTCTTTTTCAACATTCTTTCAACATATATGTTCATTTGTTTATGTAAAAATAAATAAATAAATAAATAAATAAATGCAAAAAAAAGAAAGCTCAACCAAATTCCCACTCAATCATTTCTGAAGTAACATATTCCTAAATAATAAATTATTTCAGCTTCTGAAAAATTATGACAATTTATAATGAAATATGATAAGCCTCTGGGAACATGATAATTAACTGGAAAGCATGCAGTTTTGTTAAGCTTACTAATTCAGAGCCTTAGTTCATGCAACAACAATGCACTGCATTACATTACTTGGCAGACAAAATTCAGCAAGCATTTAATTATAAGCCCACTATCTATCAATTTATTAAATACTGATAAAGATTTTATTTATTTATTTCAATATTTGGATGTCTTGCCACTATGGCAATATGGAATATTTTTGACTTTCAAATATATTACTGTCCTCGTGCATGAAATTCTGATATTAAGATCTAACTTTTTAACTGTACTCTACATTGTTTAAAAAATATTTGTTTAAAAAAATACCTTTATGTTATTGACTTGGTGGAAAATCCATATATATATAGTAAGTATAAATTATAATTTCCTTAGATAGGGCTTTAGGAAGATCTTGAAGACGCATACAACATCTCTAGTACTATCTGTCTAGTAAAATTATGGTAGAAAGTATGTTATATGCCTATTAACATCAGAAATTAATCTTCTTTCCAAGCTTCCTAAGACGTTGTCTCCTCTCTCAACTTTCTAAGCTCTTTTGTTCATTATACCAAGTATATACCCAGTGTGGTCTTATCGTTTCTATGGTAGCAGTGACATCATAAGGCACCACTGTATTACCCAATCACCTGATGGCAATGCTCCCACAAGTGATTTATTTTTTAAAATGTCCTCTCCTACTCCATAATTACTTCATATTGATATTGAAGAATATATGAATGTCTATGATTTCCGTAATTGTTGAAATGTGGAAATTAGCATTAGCACTATGAAGAATTCAAAGATGTATTTAAAGATAAATATAAACTTTCTATCATGATTTGGATCTCCCATCTTATAGAATTTTGGATATCTCAACATCCTTTTCAAAATATATTTGATTGAATAAAAAGGATTTAAGAAATGATATTTCCTTAAGAAGGGACAGCCTATTAAAATGTAGCTTAAAATAATGGCAAATATTCATTGAGTATTTGGATGGGATCAACACAAATAATAATCTAGAATGTTACAACAAACAATGGGTACTTACAGCATTTGAATCAACATCACTGTGTATGGCAACTGTTTTAATTCCCATCTTCTTGCATGTTTTAATTACCTAGTCAGGGAGTTAAAAGGGAAAAAGTGTTTCTTTTAATTAAATGCTTTAAGTAAAAATCAAAGAACTACAAAATAACTACAATTTTGGGATGTTACTTACCCTGCAGGCAATTTCTCCTCTATTTGCAATAAGAAGCTTATCAAAAGTCTAGTGAAGGTATGAGGAAGAAAAAAAGTATCCTTCGTAAATATAATGTAAACAGAGATATTTACATTTACATTTGGTGTCATTCAATGAATACAAAAATGTGAAATCTAATCACTAAATATATTAAAAATGATTAATTTTAATAATTATTTGTTTTAATGATTATTTGTTATTAAGATTTCACAGAAATAAAACTGACCTAAGAATGGTAAACAGACTTAAAACAAACTTGTACATTATCTTTTTTAAAACCTTTATTTAGTTAAGTAGAACAAAAGGAAAAAATATTTTTTTAAAAAAGGAAAAAAGAAGACAAAATTAACACAGAAATGTATATACACAATGTATGTGTATGTGTTTATACAAAAATATTTACACAAGTTTCAACGATGTTGAAATGCCATTGTTGAATGGCATTCAACAATGAATGCCATATTTGGTAATAATCTACACATTACCTATATCTGTAAGCAATTAATTTGTAAATTGCAAGTAACATCAGGTCATTGTGAGTAGGACAATAAATATAGTTTTCCAACACTGAAAGACTAGTGCAGGACAGTCAAACACGTGGCCCGCAGGCCAGATGCATCACACACTGGCCACATCCACGCCCAGTTTAGCGAAGGGGGAAAAAGTCACAATATGTCACGTGACGCCGTGATGACGCGGGTTTAACACCCTTGGACTAGTGTGTTAACCCTAAGAACACAGCAAATCTACTGTTTGTGTATTCTCTTTTTATAGTCCCTTATTCAGGGATAAGACAGGGTTGAAATATCATGCCAAGTTATTTGATGGATGAATCCCGGTCTTTATAGTTATTTATCTGCCATTGATGGTATCTAAGCCTCTTCAAACTTACCATAGTTTTGTTTTGGTATAGTTAATGTGTGCCTTTCCTCCCTACAATAGCATGCTAAGAACCAACGAAAAGTTTCAAAGCAACCTAAGTTAAAGAGAAAGTAGCTTTCAGCATAAAGAAACATAGGCAACTACCTATTATTGAGTTGAAGAGAATAGAATTCTATGTCAGTTAAGGTGGTAACAATTTATATAAATACTGAAGAGAACATAAGCCATAATACAGTCCTGTATCCTTAATGAGACATTAGCAGAGAGATGGGTGTCCCTATCACATCTAACCTATGTAACTGTGCAACATCTTATTAAACAAAATAATCTCCAATCTATAGATGAATGAAACAACAATAGAAGCTGATTTTAAATCAATAAGTAATAACTCATAGGAAAAATAAATCTGATTTCATTTCATTTAAAACAAATCTTACAAATGAAATTGAATAGTTAACATAATTGTAGCCAGGAATTAAATGACTTGCCCCTATTGTTACACTAAAAATTACAGAGATATTTAAAGTCTGAGGAAATTGCTCTTCTCCTTTAAGTCTTAGGACATATACTTTAACTCTTTAGTGTCCTAAAAATAAATATAGGCTAAACTGTATCCAAAAACGTCCACATAAATAATTACCTTTTCATTTGGATTATAAACCGTTGAGTGAAAGCCATGAGAAGTGATAAGGCACCATCTAAATCCTGCAAGCTGTACAATATTCTGCAAAGGAAAGAAAATAAATGAAATTGCTATTAATCACACATCTGGGGAAAAGGCTACTTTTTACCAACTATATGACAAAATAAGAAAAAAGAATTTTGCCAGCTTCTGAAAATAGTTTTTACACCCATCATACAAATATTAATAAATAGGATTTATTTAATATTTATTAATGTTAAATATTAAATAATGGAAATATTATTTTTAAAATGTCAGGTATTGTAAGAAACTTCTATGTCAGGTTAATGGCTTGATTAAACATAAAATAGTCTCAAAAACAGTACAGAATTGGAAGAACCTTGAAGGTCTTCTAGTTCAACCCCCTGCTCAAGCAAGAGACCCTGTACCAGTAATGGTTAACCTTTTTGGTGCCGAGTGCCCAAATCGCATGCGCGCACATGTGAATGCATCTACGTGTGCCCAATCTCCCAAAATGCAATGTGAGTGCCCCCACGTGCATGCGCCCCACCCACACACATGTGCCCATGCCCCCCGCATGGCCCCTGTCCCCCCTGCACATGTGCCCCGCACACCACGCCCCGTTTTGGCTTCCAGGTGGTTGCAGGAGGCTTTCCAGGCCCAAAACAGGGTGCAGGGGGTGCACAAGACCCCCCCCATGGCCCATTTTGGGCCTGGAAAGCCTCCTGCACCAACCTTCACCCCCGTTCATGTGCCTGCCTCCTGCGCATGCATGTTCACGTCCCTGCATGCGCCCTGCCTCCCACGCATGCGCAGCAGAGACCCGAAGACCAGCTGGCTGGTGGGAGGCATGTGCAGTGGAACTGGGGTGGAGCAACGGCTGGCGTGCTTGCCGTGCCATAGGTTTGCCATCACAGCCCTATACCATTTCAGACAAATGGCTGTTCAATCTCTCATTAAAAACCTCCAGTGATGGAGCATCCACAATTTTTGAAGGCAAGCCATTCCACTGGATAATTGTTCTTACTGTCAGGAAATTTCTCCTTAGTTTCTTCTCTCCTTGATTAGTTTCCATCCATTACTTTTTATACTGCCTTGAGATGCTTTGGAAAATAGGTTGACCTCTCTTCTTTTCGCAGCCCTTCAAATATTGGAACACTGGTATCATGTTACCCCTAGTCCTTCTTTACAGTTGACTAGACCTACCAAATTCCTGCAAGTGTTCATGTTTTAGCCTCCAGCCCCCTAATCATCTTTGTTGCTCTTCTCTGCACTCTTTCCAGATTCTCAACATCTTTTTTTATATTGTGGCAACCAAAACTGGATGCAGTATTCCATGTATGGTCTTACCAAAGCATTATAAAGCGGTACTAACACTTCATATGATCTTGATTCAATTCCTCTGTTAATGCAGCCTAAGATTACATTGGCTTTTTTGGCAGCTGCAGCACACTGCTGGCTCATATTTAAGTGATTGTCCACTGGGATTCCAAGATCCTTCTTGCAGTTACTAGTATTGAGCCAGGTTCCATGTATTGTATACCTGAACATTTGGTTTTTCTTGCCTAATTGTAAAATTTTACTTTTCTCACCACTGAATTTCATTTTGTTAGATAGGGCCCCAGTGTTCAAGTCTGTTGAGATTCATTTGCATCTTGAGCAGAGGTGAGTTTCAGCAGGTTCTGACCATTCTGGAGAACCGGTAGCGGAAATTTTGAATAGTTCTGAGAACCGGTAGTAAAAATTCTGACTGGCCCTGCCCCCATCTATTCACTGCCTCCCAAGTCCCAGATGATCAGGAGGAAATGAAGACATTCTCATTCTCCTGGATTGGGGAGGGAATGGAGATTTTACAGTATTCTTTCCCTGCCACGCCCACAAAGCCACACCCACAGAACCGGTAGTAAAAAAAATTGAATCCCACCACTGATCTTGAGCCTATCTTCTGAGACTTGGCTATTCCTGCAGCTTGGTATCATCTGCAAATTTGATGAGCTCCACTTCTATTCCCTCATTTAAATTATTGATGAAGCTATTGAATACTGGACCTAAGACAGAACTTTGAAGTACCTCACTGGTTACTTCCCCTCTATGTAGATGTAGTTCCATTAAAGACTGCACATGGAGTGCAGTTTGTCAGCCAGTCTCAAATCCAGTGATGATGCTATCTATCCCACATTTTTTTTAGTTTACTAAAAAGTAGGCTGTGGTCTACCTGTCAAATGCCTTGCTGAAATCCAACCCAACTTCTATAAGCGCAGCATTTCACTGGTCCACTAAGTTAGTCACTTTCTCAAAGGATAAAATAAGATTTGTATGGCATGATCTGTTTCTGACAAACCTGTGTTGGCTTCTGATTAGAACTGTGCTTGCTTCTAGGTGTTTGCAGATCTGTTGTTTGATTATCTTTTCCAAGATCTTCCAAGTATTGATGTCAGCTGATTGATCTCTAGTTTCCTGGATCCATTTTCCCCCCTTTTTTGAATATGGGAATCACATCAGCTCTTTTCCAGTCCTCTGGTAGTTCTCCAGTGCTCCCAGGTCTTTGAAAGATATGGTTCAGTGTTTCCGAGATCATGTCTGCCAGCTCCTTCAGAACTCGGGGATGTAATCCATGGTCCTGATGATTTGGACAGGTGTTCTCTTACCATTTTCTTGCTTATTTTAATTTGTAGCCCTGGTCTGTCTTTTACGGTTCTGTTTTTGCTGGGTTAGGCTATTTTTTTCCTTTTTGCAGGAAGACAGATGCAAAGAAATAATTAATCAGCTCTGCTTTCTCCTTGCTGCCTGTCACTTCCTTGCCATCTTTTCCTATTAGTGCACTGATTATTTCCTTGCCTTTTTGTGTGTGTTGTTTTTTACATATTGAAAGAAACATTTGTATTATTTTTGACATTTGTTGCAAGTCTTGGTTCATTCTGATCCTTAGCTTTCCTGACTTCATCTTTTCAGATTTGGGCTATGTGCTGGTATTCTGCCTCAGTTATGGGTCCCTCTTTCTATTTTTTGTACTTATTCTTTTTGTCTTTCACTTCATCAGAATTCTTTATGCAATCATGCAGATTTCTTCTTGGATTTATTTTTCTTTTTAAATGATATTGTGCTGGGCTTTTATAATCATATTTTTCAGAGTTTCCCAAGCTTTATGACTTGTTTTCCCCATAAGATTTTCATCCATGGAATCCTTTCCAAGCTCTTTCTTAGTTTGCTGAAATCAGCTCTTTTAAAGTCTAAGATGTTAGTTTGATTTTGTTCTATTGCTTATGTCTGAATTATATTGTATTCCAATATGACAAGGTCACTCTCCCCTAAAGTTCCTGAAACTTCAACCCCCCTCTATCATTTCTTGTCCACTAGGAAGAATTAAGCCCAGTATAACTGACCGTCTAGTTCCTTCCTCTTCCTTTTGGATTACAAAATTGTGAGCTAGGTTTGTCAGGACCCTGTTCGATCTCCCATTGATACAGAATTCCAAATAGTTTAATGCAAAATATCTTAAAGGGATATCAATACATAATTTTATGGTTAATAATACCATAAAAACACTGTGTTTATAGAATAAAAATCTAAGTCCATTTATTATTTTTACAAATAACTCAAGGCGACAAACATATCCAATATATCTTCTCCCTCCTATTTCTCTCATAACAACCCTGTATTGTAGGTCGGTCTGAGAGAAAGTGACTGGCCCAAAATCACCCAACTGGCTTTCAAGGCTAAGTCCGTTTCTAGCATTAAATAACATTAAATAAGCATATAAAAAAGAAATATGGTTTTCTAATGCAAAAGGAACTTGAAATAACAAACCAACATACCAGGAAAAAAATGCCAAATAAGTCAACTTTTATCAATCAGCAAAATTAATAAAATTATTATGTCCAAAGCAGAAACTTCAACTCTAGCTGTATGCAGATACACAAACCACAACATTCCAGTCTTGTTAGGAATGAGATCAGTGGTGGGTTGCTCCCGGTTCGGCCCAGTTCGGCCGAGCCAGTAGCGGTGACGCTATTATGTCACCGAACCGGTTCTCTTTCTTTGGGAGCTGGGCCCTCCCACCCGCCCCCGCGTTATTCCAACCTTATATTTCTTCTTTTTTCGCCCAGCTGAGAGGTGGGGTAAAGCGGATTGCCGCACCTCAGCTGGGCAGATTCGCAACATGCTTGTGCAAACCGAAGAGGCGATCGCGCACGAAGCGCGCGCACAAAGAGAACCGGTAGTAAAGCCGGTTAGAACCCATCCCTGAATGAGATGCATCTGACCAAAATTAAATGAGGCTACCTTTTCCCTTCAACCCAATTGTACACTTCACCCCACAAAAAATGAGGTTGTATTAGTCAAGTACAAGTATCCTTTCTCATTACACCCCTAAGTTGGCCTCTTTTAAAGATAAAGATAACATTATATAATTATGTAATATATTAACTTTGTGAAATTTACTAAAATGGTTTATACATAAAATTAAATTAAGAGAGAGAACGCTGACTTCTGACTAGATTTCTGTGAGGAATTTTAAAGGAGTGCAAAAAGTGTTTTAAATCTCTTCTTCTTGTAGGTGAACATGTCACCAACAAATCAAATATAATCATCATTTTCGGAAACCAAAAAGTAAATCTCAATTATCATACAGATTGTGACATGGATATTTTGGGAAATGAAGATAATATGGGAGTAATACCAGTATTTCTATGGTTATTGCCATAGGACAATGAGGGTGAATTTTTTTGGGCTCTGCGTATCAACACTTCAGGAAATGCCTAACTTGGCTCTGTTGGTGTGTCACACACCTCTCACATAAACAAAAGAGAAACAATTCCCTGTCTGCCCCCATCTGAAATTTTCAGAGGCTCAGGAGGCCATGTGAGAGCTCATCCCATCTCATGCAGCCTCCACAGCCTTTGAAAACTGTATGAGAACAGGGTATGCTTTCAAGAATACTTGTTGTTTGTTAGTGAACACTAGCAAGTCACCCAAAACACTGCAGCATGTCACCTTTGACCCATGTCATACGTTTGCCATCACTGTCATAGGAAGCATAATGGAAGGCAGCAAGTTACCCATTCTATAGGGAGGGAGATTGG